CCCAAACGTTCCTGTGCCAGAGGTTTTGTTTGCACCCTTTCTGCAAACAGAAGTCAGTCACAGGAGTGTCCCCATCTCAGATGTATGTATGGGCTCTTCCAGGTGCTGTGCTGGGAATATTTACCATAGTCTGCTGTGCAGCAAAAGGAATCCCACTGCCTATGGAGGTGAGACTTCTATCCAAAACCTAAATGTAAATGAGAAGCTGAGCTATCAAAATGATGAGGAAAGTGCTGTAGGTAGTCAAAATCCTGATGACTCCACAGAGGTCACTTATTTCATGTAGAGCATAGACAATGAAGTATTACCAAAGAAATTTGGGATCAAGCACAGTAACTTTTTAATCCTTTGAGGGGACAGTTGTGTTTGCCTAGGGTGAAACTGCCTTTGAGAAGGGTTAAAGGAGGTGTGATCCTTTCAAAGATGTAATTTCCTCCTTAAATTTGTTTTGCTATTCTCTGGTATACAAAGCAGGTGTCTGCAGGAAAGGCAGAACTCCTTCATCTGCACTTCCCTGTTCCTCATTGAAGCCAGGATTGATGCTGTTGGAGAAAATATCTAAAAAGGGATGGAGATACCAATAGTGAAAGAAGTGTTTGAACTGGCCGTGAATAACAGCTGGGACAGGGGAATTCAATCCTCTCATCTGGGAGCTGCTGCATGCCCCAGGGAGATCCAGCACAGGGACTTGTTATGGGAAGAGCCTCAGTTGTTTGCTGGAATCTTGGTCCTACATTCCCTGATGTGAAGATGCATATCCAAAATCTTTCAGTTATTTTTATTTCACTGTCTGCCTCCTGTCCCTCAGGCAGAGCTGTGAGACAGTGCCCTTGGTTTCCATTTGGGTTAGAAATGCTACTGCTGCCCTTATGCAGACCAGGAAAGGGCCTTTCCCCTGGAAAAAAAGGAGCAGAAATTATCTGTGTATGTGCTTGTGGAACATGTGCTGTATCTTGAGAGGAAAAAAAGTCCCTCTTCAGTCAGATCAGATGAGTTCTTAGCATAGTCTACTGCTCGTTGAAAGGGTCTCTGCACAGAGGCAAAGCCCTAGGGTGGGGAGAAGGTGGAAGTGAAGGGCCTGATTTCCAGCAGAAATTCTACTTGTAGGAGTAAAAGGGAAAGCTGTGTGGACAAGGAGAGCAGCAGCATTCAGGAGAGAGCAGAATGGGCAGTGCTAGGGATTTGTACCAGCCATATGCCTGAAAAATGGTTTAGCTCTGAGCCAGTTCCCTTAGGAAGTCAGGATTCCTCTGCAGTTTTCCCAGAGTTATTTGAAATGCCTGTTTTCTCTTGTTGCCTTTGTCCAGGTTTCAGCTGTCAGTACTGCTTTCTGCTATTCTAAATACTTTTGCTTGAGTATTACATCCCCACAGTATTTGGAAATAACTTTTAATATGCACACAATTATTTGGTTGAGCCTTTGAGTTAAATCATGCCCGTGAGCTTACACGGTGTTACATTTTGTGCCTAAATGGTGGAAGAATTTACAACCAAGGAAATGCTGTAGATGTTTCACAAGAGCTCTGCCTTGTACCGCAGAACATCATCCCTCTGTCTTCAGTCACTCCTACCTGCTCTGTATGAGTTCTGTGGACTTTCCAACCACCTCCAGTCATGCTCTCACCCTCTTTGCTGGTCTTTTGGGGGTTTCCATGGTGCAGTGAAATAACTGGTTGCAAAACTGAGAAAGCTTTGCAGTTCACACTACTGGATTTAACTCTGTTCCAAATCTTAACACAGAGCCTGTTTGCAGCACAGGGAGACACTGCACAGGGTGCTGCAGCTCTGGCTTTGTGTCACACCTGACCTGGTGATGGCTCACATTGTCCTTAGTCTCAGATGTGGCTGCTGTGAATAAGGGTCCCTATTGCCCCTTCCCAGGGCAGTCAGCAGCACAGGGGTGTGTGTGCACCCGAGGAGCAGTGAGATTGTGAGCTCCCTCAGTCAGATGTGGTCCCTCTCCATGGGGCTGTGGAGGCAGATCAATGGCAGAAGTGATGCAAGTATGTCATACCTCTCTCAAATGATGCCAAGGCACTGCTCAAAACAGCCCCAAATCCATCTGAAGTAATATAGCCTGTGTTACCTGGGAGCATTTTGATGTGGAACCTGTGCCTTTAGTTTCTCTGCTGTGCTCAATGACATTGAAATTTGCTTATACTGTAATTAAAAAGATCTTAGCTGGCAAGTCCTGAGCCTCCATCCGCTGGTTCAGCTTCTCCCTGCCTGAGGCAGGACTGTTCAATAAATCATCTTCACAGCTGCTGCAGTAATAACTTCTTTCTTACAGAAAAGACCAAAGGGAAAGGGCAAAGCAGGCATGTTCAGGCACCAGACTGACTGAGCTGGAGGAAGACTCGAGTCCAAAGACCATTGTCAGGATCTGTCCCTGGGGCTCATGTTTGCTTCTGCAGTTCTCCACAGACCTGGCACAGCCACACATCATCTTGGCACCCAGGAGAGCATCTCAGTTGCTGCTGCTGGGGCTGGTCTTCAGCAGCAGAACCAGAATGGCTGCAGAAGCACTGCTTCATTCTTCCACTTAGAAGTAAGAATTAAAGTAGTGGCTCGTGATTCCACTGTGCTGGGGCAGAAGGGAAGGGATGTCTCGGACCTGCTGGTGTCTAAGGCTGTACCTTGCCAGCTGGGACAAGGATGGGGTAACAGGCACTGTGCTGTCAGTGGGGTTTATGCTGGGGGCTGTGTTCATGTGTCCAAAGGTGCTGTAAAATGAAGGGGAGAGGCAGCTGTGTCTGTCATACACTGTTTATTTTTCAGGTGGAACTTGGCTGATAAATAGGACTGAATTAAAGCAACACTTACGAAAAATAAAACCCAACCATAACTCATAAGTGCAAAATTGCCCTCCACATGTCCAGAGACAACGAGGTTCTGGTTTGCTGGAGACAGCACATGGATGTACCAGCAAGGGCAAAGGCTTCAGCTTATTGATATCCTAAATGCAAACAAACACCTGGTACAGTATATGGCTTTGTTGCTGAGTAGCCACCTGTGACCCTGAGAAACAGCTTCTGAACAGAATGGGTTCAGAACAGGTCACTGGTGAGTTTTTCTCCAGTTCCCATTTACAAGTTGTGGTGCTGTCTCCACTCAAACCACTGAGCAAGGGCTGATGAACAGTAAGTGCTATGAAATTGAAACAAAAACCAAAGGGCAAAAGCCAAGAACAACACAACCCTTCCCACCTCCATTGCATTTGGACATGGCTCATCGTGTTAACAGCACCAGTAGAGAGCAGACAGCTCCCGTGGTGAAGGAGTGGTTTGTGATGGGAAGACTTCAGACTTGCAAAGGATCAGAAAAACAAGTGCATCCCAGGTATGAAATTACAGTAACAGGTTGCCTAAGGCTGAGAAAGGTCTTAATTGCATCGTCCCATTGGGCACACAGCTGGCAGCAGCTGAAGTAGCTGTGGCTCTCCCTTTGCACTTTCCACCTTATTTCCTGCTCATCTTTTTTTGCAGCTCTGTGAAGAAGGAACTAGCTTGACTGAGAGGACAAAGCATGGCACAAGATGCTATGTACTCGGTCTTGTGGTAGTTTGAGAATTGTCTGGCAAAATGTTCCCAAAATAGATTGGTTACCCTGTGGTGAGGGAGGGATGAAAGCTGTAGGGAATTAAGAGTTTGAGCTAATTTGGTGCCTGGTACCAAGATCTGCAATTTACCTGCCCAGAAAAGTATCTGGAAGAGAAGGAGTGAAAGGAGTTTACCTACCAACCAGGTCACTCAGTGAGGTAAGGACAGCAGCCTGGGGGGCACTGCTGCCAGCAAGTACAACTTCCCCATGTGCTTGGGCATCTTGTTCCCTCTTTTCCAAGAGCCCCTCGGAGCCCTCTCTCTCTGAGTTTCCTGTGTAGCCTGTTCAGGGAACTAGTGAGTGCTGACAGATGCTGCCCACAGCAGCGTGTCCTGGTGGGCTTGCAATCCCTGGCAGCAGTGGCACAGCAGCAATGCTGCTGCTGTGACCTGCTTCCCAGGCTGCCCAAGGCTGTGCCCAGCAGGCTGCAGGTGGGACAGGCAGGCAGTGGCAGCCTTTACCTGCTGGCCTGGCACCAAAGCTGGTGCTGGGCTGGAGAGCCTCAAATGTGCCTGTGCACAGGAAAATCCAGGAGCCAAATGGCATCGTTGGTGCACTGCCCCACTGCAGTGCTGTGGGCTGAGTGTCTCCTGTGGCTGTGGGGCAGAGCAGCCCCCAGGGCTGGGGGTCCCCTGTGCTCAGAAATCCTGCCAGTCTGTGCAGCCACCTCAGCAGGTGCCAGCTGAGGGACTGAACAGTGGAGCCAGATGTCAGGCAGGTCTGGCTTTGCCCAGCTGGAAGCAAATCAGCCATTGCATCAAGGGGAGAGGAAAGTTTTGCTTGTGCTACCCTCTCTGTGTTTCTGCTTGGGGCTGAACACATCTTGGTTACAATTTGATGCAGTTTGTTTAACTGGCTGAGTACCATGTGACAACAGCAGCACTGTTTGCTAGTCGTCTGCTGATACATAGCTGAGCAGCAGTTTCCTAGGCGGCCATGTCCTAAGGCCTTGGGATCCCACGTGTTTTTTAGAATTTATCAGCAAAACCCACTATGTATTTCATACACCACATTCCAGCTAGGGCTGTCTGTGCATTTACTTTCTTGCTTTCAAAGTGCAAAGCCAGGAGCAAACCAGAAGTGATCAGGCAGCTGTTCAGGCACTAGGAACATGGAGGGCGATTTGATAAAGCAGAAGCCCAGCTGTTGACACATACCCCAGAGAGAGGCTTGGTCAACAAGCAGCACTGAATATATTGTATGGATTTCCACCAGCTGGGCTGCAGAGCTCTCCATTTCAGTGGCATGGTTTGGGCTCTGGGGCAGATTTCATTCAAACAGAAAAAAGCAGAACTGTATTCCCCGTTTCTCAACGTATTTGCTGCAGCAATGCCATTCCTTCATGTGCTAGAAGAGCTCAAGGTCAGCACAGTCTGGTACAGTTGCATCTTCTGCCTCCACAGGCTGCAGCCATCACTTGCCTGTGTGCTGGGTCTGGATTTGGAGCCAGCAGGGGTCCTGCCAGCCCCTGGGTGCACAGCTCCTTGCTGGCCTGGCCTGGCCACAGTGGCTGTAAGCAGCGAGACACGGACAGGAACCTGCACACAGGTGTGTGTTTTTCTGTCAGTCCCCAGTGCCTGTCTGCAAGCGCTGCTGGCCAGGCCTCCAGCGCCACGAGGGAGTGGGGATGGGATAAGCTCTTCCTGAGAACTCCCTTGCTGTGCTCCAGTTTGTTTTCGACAACTCCCAGAGCACGATCCCTGCTGACAGAGATACCCCTGGTGTGTGTTCCTCACGCTTCTCCCCATCCAGTGGTTGAGTTCATAGCTTGTTCTTCTGCCTTACGGTTAAAAAATATATCTTTATTTTATTTCTCGTCCTCGTCTCCCTCGCTCATGCTGCTGAGGCAGGAAGCTGCAGCTTTTGGAGACGAGGGAGGAGAGGTCTCATTGATGACAAAGGGTGGAGATGGAGAACGGGACGGCGAGCGGCCTCGCGTAGGACTGCTGTTGGGGCTCTGCCGGGGAGAAAAAGCCTGGAGCATTCGGCTGCTTCGTTCCTGGAACATCTGCTTCTGCAAAAGCAAAGTGAAAAGATCCTCTTTGAGTAGTGCAGAGGGGAAGGTATGTCTGTGGGCAGGCAGGGGCTGCACTGTGCCTCTGACCTGGGAGAGAGCAGGGAGCCAGAGCCCTGGGGCACAGCTGGCTTGCCTCTTCTACTGTTTTTGTCGAAGATGGGACAATCCTAGTGTGAGAACATTGTGCATACTGTCCTGAGCCAGCTAGGGGGAACTCCCATTTTTCCTATGTCTTGGTCACACTTGTCTCAAAAGGTGAGTTTTCTGCCTGGACACTCAATGTTCCTAGTTCCCAGGACCTTTTCCTTTTAGCATGCTGGGCCAGATCACCCATCTCCTGCTGAGCATCCTGGCTCATCCAGCCTTTATTCCTCCTTTCTCTTCTCTAGGGAGACAGCTTGGTGCCTGCCAAATACTGCCAGCCACTTCCCCAGCTACCTGGAGCAGGCACCACCCAAACCCATAACCTTGGGGTGAGGGAACGTCAGAATTCAGTGTCTGTTGAAAAGAGAAACACGTGCAGGCTGTGTGTTCTGCTTGGAGCTTTATTGCCGTTTTCGCTTTGTAAAGCCGTGGAGGCCTGGTGAGCTGCTGGGGTGGAACAGAGCAGCACCTCTGCAGTCAAGCAGTCTGCCATGCTAAGGCAAATGGCTCTACTTGTTAGCAGCTACATGGCCTTCTGTCAGGCTGCCAGGCTGGGTTATGGAAGATGTGGCATGTGCTGTGCAGCTGCTGCAGGCTTCACGTGGAAAACGCCAAATCCGAGGGCCTTGCTGCTCCTCCTGGGGACGGGGAGCAAGAAGTCTCAACCTTGGCTGGAGTACTGGGAGTCAGGTCACAGGTGATGCTGGGCTGGAATGGAAGATCCAGCCAGGAAAAAGGTAAGTTGCCACTCAGGTCTGAGAGGAAAATACTTGTGCAGAATGTATGCTGGGTTTGCCTGCTTGGACAGCTGCAGGCTGCACACTTGTTCTCAGCTTCAGTTTACATTTTGTTCCTCCTTCCCTTCCCCCTGCAGTGACTCTGCTCTGCACTGACCTTCCCAGCCCAGGAGCATGTGGCTGCCCATTCTGCCCTTCCTTCCCCTCTTTGAAACTTGGTATTCTGTGCCAGTAGGGAGGCAAATGCTGTTTTCCCCTTCGGTTTCTGGTGTTGTTTGTGGTTGATTTTTAATCACTGGGACCAGCAAATACTGAATTTAGTTGTTCCTCTGTGAGCTCCCTCTCCCAATTTTTATCTGTATCACATTGGCCTTTATTGACTTACATTTCAGAGCCTGGATGTCAATACAGTTCCTGCCTGGTGGCATACTTGCCAACACTCTTGTGCATAAAGCCCCATGGTGTGTAACCTACCCCTGCACTACTGCTAGGTCCAAAATAGTCAAGACTTCCTAAAATCTCCATAGTTAGCAGATGGTGGTTGCTCCTGATAAATAGTGCCAGGAAGCATTCAGATGGGGGAGGATTGCTGCTGCTGAGAGCTGTGAGGATGTCACCAGAGCTGGTAAAGCTCCAGAGCCTGTTTTAAATTCAGTGGTAGGGGTGCAAAATTTGTCTTTAGATTACAGAAATTGAGGTTCTGTTGGCTTGACTTAATCTGAAGATAACACCCAACAAAAAAAAACAACCAACAAACCCACTCCACGACATTTGATTTATCTTTTTCCTGGCCAATCAAAACACTGAGTCCCTCCTGCCACTTCAAAAAGCTCAGTGATGTAGTGGTGCTTCATGATGTTGTGGTACCAGTGCTGGGGGACATCCAAGTGTCCCAGCTTGGCTGATATGCCACATGGCAGGGGTACTTGACTGTACTTTAGGTCACACAGACCAGGGATGGAAAGGAGAATCCCACTTTCCTCCTAAGGCCCTCAGCCAGGCTGTAGGACAGCTGCTTCCCAGCCCCTACTTTAGCAGAGCTTGTTGCTTGAATAAGCTGATGCACTCACACCTTCAGCAGGCTAAATGCTTGGCCACTCTGAATTGCCTCCTGCATTACTGCTGGAACCATCAGGTTGCTGCCTAAAACCACAACAGGTTCAGGAGGAGGAGGTAGTGTAATTCATCTGCTTCCAGAACGAATCTTTCCCTCCAGCTGTGCCCTAGCAAGGTCATTGATTCATGCCCTTTGCAGGCAAGGTGCTCCTTGGGCCATTGGGTTCTGAAGAAGCAGAATAAATGTTAATGATTTCCTCAATGTGCCAGAGGGTTTGACAAAGCTGGGTGCACTCTGGACCTTTAGCAGAGGTGAGAAAATAATTTTAAAGCCTTGATTCAAGCAAGTTCAGGTACACACAATCAGCTTAGGGTTTGTTTTAGGCAAACTTGCTACTGGGAAAAAGTATTTTGCCTATTTCTGAATTTTACTGCCTACATGTTGATAGTCCTTTGTTTTACAAAACAAATGCCAGCTGGGCATTACAGAGGACACCTGCTTTTGCTCTGCAGATTGTTCCAAGGCCATGCTCAGGTCCAGACTGCAGGCATGTGGTTTGGGCTAAACACTGTCCCTGGGCTCTAGCTGCAACCTGTAAGTCTTACCTGAGTCCTTGCTGATGTCTGAGGTGATGAAGCCATTTCCTAGAGCAACAATTCCCAACGCCCTCTGTGCACCGAGGAGGGAAGCCAGCCCTTTGAAGGGACACCTCATCTGAAGGGGCATTTCTGAAGGACACTAGCACAGAAACACTGCCCTGTGTGCTTTGCTTTCTTTCCCTTGACCTCAACTGTAGGTGCCTTGTACACATCCAAGAGGAGGTAGAGTGAACCCTACTGCTTTCTGCTTCCAGCATCTCTGCCATTAGTCCCTCCATGCTGGGCTGTGCACTGGTCCTCTCACACCAGACAAAAGTTTCAGGCCACATTAATCATTGTTTCTGACCCCTCCGTGACTCTTGCACAGTAAGTACAAACAGGGGATTGCACAGGTGGGCAGAATTGCCAATGAATTATAGACACCTTGACATCTGAAAACTGACATTTTGAACTTTTCCACAAACAGGCATTTTTTTTGTGGGTTACGTGGCCCTTACTTCTAGAAAATTTATGCTAACATAAAGTATATTATAATAATTATTTGTGAAATAATAATAGCATATTAATGGCATGCAAATTACTGATCTAGGAATCCAGCATGCCCATAACGATTCCTGTACTTTTAATGTCAACATTAAAAGCAACATCTAACTAACAGTGATAAGGCAAATTAACATTAATAATGGTTTTGACACTAATAGTAAGTTATTATTTTAAAAGTCTTTCCTGTTGCCAAGGCTCAAACCATTTAAAAAAAGTCACACCACCTCAGCTTGCTGTCACTGATGCTTTTCCTACAACACTGAGATTTCAATCCTCTTGTTTGTAGCAAAGGTCCCTGTGATTGTACCAGACTTCCTACTCTGTGGTCAAACACTAACTCAGGAAACAGGAGGCCACCCCTAGATATTAAGAGATCTTTGCAGAGCAGCTTTTCCCTAACTGAATTTAGTAAAATATTTTATCAGAAAAAGTTTTTAAAAATGCCATTAGTATGCAGTGTTGAGTGGGTAGAGTCAGGGAATGGGATCAGGGCTTTTAAATTATTTTCCTCTCTCTGCACAGCCAAACTCATCTCAGCTCTTGTGGGTTTCACATGCTCTGTTAGGATTAGTTTTGTTTATTCAGCACCTAAGGCCACAGGACTATCCCACATGGGGAACACACACCGAGCTCCATGGGCAATAACATACAGAGAAAGCTTCCTGTGGATGTGGACAATGCAGGTAAGCCTGGGCTTTTCATCAAAGAGTTACCTTCAAGGAACATGACACTGCCAATGAACAAACTGCTAAATAAGCTCCATGTTTATGTGGCTGTGGCCTGTGTTATTCAGTTAGCATCTGCCTTTGCATGGGGCGGAAGTAGCTGTAAGATTATAAACATAGAGTCTCTGTTCCAAAGCCTTCACAGCCTGATTTTAGGTTTTTCTCAACTGAGTGGTAACCAACATGGCAAGTCATGGCAATGCAAATATGAGAACTCCAGTAAGAGGCAGGTACTGTGTGCTCTGGTGACACTGAGCTGTGACACAGTGGTGATGTGTGTATTAGCCTATTTGCTTGTGTGCTGCTGTTATGTAGCTCTACAGATTGCAGTATCATGTTCAGCATCATACTTTCACAAAATACAGGTATTATCCCAAACAAGCAACAGCCAGAAGCAGCAAATCCTTCTGCTGCTGTACTGGTATGCATTACTGGATTCAGCAATCAGGTTTGGCATTATCCTGCTGTGCTGGCTTTTGAAACAAAGACTGCAGCAGAAGTATCTGCCCTTGATCTGTGTTACAGAAGAGAAATAAAAACCGCTCAGATTTCCTGGGATGTCAGAATACCTACCCAAGCTCCGTCGGGTCCAAACAGCTCTAAAAAGTTGCCAATAAATTCCCTGGACTTTTCTTCCCATTTCTGAATGAGGTCATGGCTCTTCTCTTCCACCTTGTAAACAAATTCTTTTGACTTTTCCTCCACATTCCTCACTGTTTCTTTCATTTTGTCCACTTGGTTTTGAAAGCGATATTTCTTCTCCTGTTTTAGAAGTGTGGTCAGAGGTTAATAAAAACCTTGGAAATAATTAGGCACAGACAGCTGAGAAAAATAAAAAAAAAATGCATTAATGTATTCTAATACATATGGCCTTGGTTAACTATTCCCATGTTATTTTTATAAATGCAAGTTTAACGTTTGCAGAATGAAGTGTATAAGGTACATACTGAAAAGACTTCTTGTATGATTACTATGTTTAATCCACTACAGAAATCTTTCCATATTTGAAAACCGAATGCACTTTGGAAATCATATGAATCTTGTGGAGGTTATGAGTGAAAAATTAACAGCTCAAACTTAGCAGTAGGCAAAAGATCTCCCTGGGCTTCCTAGCAAATGCTGCTGACTTGCCAGCCTGGATGTTAACTTGGAACAAAATGTCTCTTTGGTTGGATTTATGCAGACCAGAAGGAAAACTCTGGTCTGGCTCCTGGCTAGTACATGAGCTTCTGGCTGCAATACAGATGTGTGCAGGCCAGTGGCTTGTGGCCAGAAGACTTCAGAGAAAAGTGAGAAAACTCCTAATTGCTAAGTCGCATGGAGAAAGAGAAGGACAGTGTTAGGGAGCTCTCATCTGGCCAAGCTTCTGAAATGCTTCAGGGTTAAAGGGCTTTTTGTCCTGAAACACTCCTGTGCTCTGCAAAGGTATGGTACATGCAGCTAAGCAATGTTGTGCCCTTGAAGGTGTAAAGGTCTCTAGAAGCACAGATCATTACCAGCTTTTAATTAGCTGTTAAATTCATTTAATGGGCACTTGAATTTCTTTCTAAAGAAGCACCAGTTTTAGTGCTGAAATGGGGTTTGTTCTAGCTCATAAATCACTAAAAGAACTGTTTTTGCAGGCCACAAGCACAAACAAAATCCTCAAGGTCCAAAGCAACCAAGCCCACTGTACAATCTCCTTTAACAAGGGAACCAGTGCTCTCCTGCCTTGGTGGAATCCTGGGGTTTATTTCTGAAGTGCAAGCAGTCCTTGGTGCAAAATAGTATATCTGCATTTAAATTGCTGTAAACGAAACACCCGAATGCCAGGAGGGTCTTCAGGATCCATCAGTGTCTGAGACTGGGGGAAGCATACCTTATGCAACAGTATCTTAACCTCACAGTTGCTAAAGGATAAATTTGAGAACCTCCAAAGCATCCAGCATGCCCTATTTTAATGCATATTTGCAACAGTGATCCTTCTGGGTGGAGTACTTACAAGTAGGATTTCTTAGAGGTGTAGAAGACTTTCAAAAAAAGCACAGTGAAATATTTATGCCCTGTGATAGGCAATTTACCTGCCAGACTTCAAAATAAGACACACTGCATGTGTCTCCTGCAATGACACAATTCAGTCTTTCCCAAGGGGGATTCCCAGCTCCAGGGAAGGAGATAAGAAGTCCTGCTGTGAGCTAGCCCAGTCACAAGAGGTATTTCAGTTATTTGGGTTATCCTGAGGCCTTAAGATTTGAAAGAGAAAATGAAAAAAGACAAACTCTCATTTCTGTATAGTGTTTCCATCTCACTGGAGGGTAAGAGGCTGGTCTGTAAGTGGAGGATGGATAATTTGAGCCATTCTTTCAAACGTCACTCTTGCCCTACCTATTTGGGCTTCTGATCTCTCAGCATCATTTACGTGCCAGCTTCCTAGCAGACCTCCTTGTCTTCAGAAAACCATTTTAGCTTCCCCTACTAAATCACTGCTCTATGGTTGGTTTTGTTAGGATTGGTTTTTTTAATCCTATCCCATTGTAGAGATAGTTTGGATCTCAAAACCCCTGCTCTCTGTGCTGCCTTCTTGGAATGGAAATAAAGAAAGAAATGGTGTGTTGGGTGAGCAGCTGAACAGCTGGGGGGGGTAGGAGAGTGGGCTCCTTCCTCATTGTCACCTACAGCTCAAGTAGGAAGGAGCAGAACTTTGCTAAAAGCGTGAAAGTGCAAGTTGGAAATGAAGCTGCTAATTAATTGAAGCAATTAAAACTACCCTCAGCTTACCAGTTTCTTTTAAATTGAGTTCTTTCCAGCTATTTTAAAAGCAGCAGGAGGAAGATATCCTTTCTTAACCTTTACTGTACATTCTGGGTCCCAGGAGGGAGCGTTTCCAAAGCAGTGCAGATCTGTACTTACATTTATAAAGCTAACATTCAGCTCTTTGGCAGTGTACCCTCGCTGCAGGTTGCGCCGGGCGTACACGTCGTAGTCCCGCACGATCCTTGTGATGATATCCGATGTGGAAATACCTTCGGTTCTCTGTGTTGGTACAAACATTCCTGAGCAAAGTGGGAAAAGAAAGCCTGCTGAGAAAGCATGGCAGGACCAGGCACTGCAGCAGGTGGTAGCTGAGCATTAACATCAAAATGCCTGAACTGATGCAATTCTGCCTTATTCTTAGTTCCTTCCTGTTGTTTCTGTGTGAGCTGGGGGAAGGAAGGTTGCTATACCATCCATTTTTCCTCAAATCTTCAGAAAGAGTAAAACTTGCCCTTCTGCACAGTGTCAGCTGTGATGTG